TGAGAGACACCAGTCAGTGTACAGATATCTCCCTGAGAGAGAGAGGGGGCTGAGAGACTCCAGTCAGTGTACAGATATCTCCCTGAGAGAGAGATGACGGGATATTGCAATGATACTTTCTTCGCCCTGACTCTCTCTAGTTGTCTTGGCATCCAATATGGCTGGAGCCGCTATGTACGAGTTGGTGAGGGTTGGACACAGCGAGCTGGTCGGTGAGATTATCCGACTCGAGGGAGACATGGCGACAGTCCAAGTCTACGAGGAGACCTGTATCCTTTGTCAATGTTCCCTGGGAATGGTGTTGGGTGGTTTACGGGTTGGCCTGCGGTGGGAGCTGGGGTAGGTGGTGCTGGGAATCCCAGGGGAGTGAACCATCCCCCAAGGTAGGCCGAGATTGAAGCCTGGCTCTTTCCCACGTTACCGGTCCTGACCTGGGCCCCCCGCAGCTGGTGTGTCTGTCGGGGATCCAGTCCTGCGGACCGAGAAACCCCTGTCGGTGGAACTGGGGCCAGGAATCATGGGATCCATTTTCGACGGGATCCAAAGGCCCCTTTATGACATCCGGCAGTTGACCGAGAGCATCTACATCCCGAGGGGAGTCAATGTCGCCCCACTGCCCAGCCACATCAAGTGGGAATTCACCCCAGAGCCTCACATCAAGGTAAGGAGCGTGGGGTTGAGGTGGGGGGGTGTGGGGTGGGGCATGGGCGACTGGGGGCAAAGAGAGAGAGTGTGGCAGCGAAGGAGTGAGGGAGGGAGAGGGTGTTTGTGGGAGAGTGGGAGAGAGAGTGTGTGAGGGAGATTGTGTGTGTGTTTGTGTGTGTGTGTTTGTGTGTGTGAGAGAAAGAGGGAGGGAGAGAGTGTTTGTGGGAGAGACAGTGCGCGTGAAAGCGAAGGAGAGAGAGTGTGAGGGTGAGTGTGTGAGGGGGAGTGTGTGTGTGTTTGTGTGCGTGTGAGAGAGAGAGAAAAAGGGAGGGAGTGGGAGAGAGAAAGGGAGGGAGAGTGTGAGAGAGAGGGAGAGTCAGAGAAAAGGAGAGAC